AGCCATGCTGTGGCGGGGTCCCATATAAAGTAGAGGAAGATGGGCACGGATGTTAGCCCAGGGCCAGTCTTCCTCAGCAAAAAGAGGAGGATTGGCATCGGATGTTAGCTCAGGGCTAATCTTCCTCACAACAACAACAACAACAGAAAAGCTCTTTCTGAGACCTTTTGTAATGACTTCTCATCTTGCCCGAAAAATATGTCTTTGGGCTTCTCTTTTACTCAGACTTTAGGGTTCTGATACATATATTTTGTCACCATCTTGATAGTGACGATGCACATTTCTGCTTTTGCCTTCTTAGCCAAAGCTGCATGATTATGTGTCAAACACTCTACTTTTAGATCTTTCTTCCAATTCAAATTTAATAGAATTTGATTTTTAACTCAGCCTAGTTGACTACTTTTTCCTTTTCTTTTAATCCTTTACAACCAAATCAAATAAGTTTAAATTTTCTTATTTCATATACTCTCCAAGAGGTAACCCTGAAATCCCGTTTTGTATATTAACCGCTATAGAATGAAACAAGCTCTTCTATACAACATGTGCAAGAAAACTTTCCCAAGTAATCTTCCTTTCTTATCACTATAACCACACTTCCTCCCTTCTTAAAAATCTTTCAACTTCTCTTTTGGATAAAGGTTTTCATAACCTAACCACTTACATATTTTTTGTTTTATTTATGTTTTTTTTATTTGAGTAAAACACTAATAACTCAGTGACTTCATCAGATTTACTCAGACAATTCTAAAAAAAATAAAAATACCTGCACCATCCATGCAGAAATTTGTATTAAATTTCTTCAAGTTACGTTTAATTGTTTCTATGTACGAAAGTAGAAAACAACTTTGAGTAAATTTGAAATCTTCCAATATTAAGATATTTCTTTATTTAGGTTACAGAAGATTCTTATAGAAAACTTTTGTTGAAAACTGGAAGTAAGACAACTCATTGGTTCAAAGACCACAATCATTCTTTCCTTTTAATATTATAAATTTTGCATAAAAGTTGCTGAGTAAGTCTTCAAAAAATACCACTTTTATCACTATCCAAAGACCTCGATTGCTCTGTATGGGCTTGCTGTTTTCCCAACCAACTTTAAATTTTTGCTTATTTTTTAAGACCCAGCACCATCTGATGTAACCCAAACTATAAAACTTTATTTCATGTTTCAAAACGAATCTCAGCTCCCCTTGGGTATTTTCACTGACTGGCAATGACGGTATTGGGCTCAACAAAATCCTCCAAAAACTTGTGAAGTGTTTGCAAATTACGGAAGTCTCTTTTACAGGTGACTCAGGGTTACCTAGTATTTGATATGCCTGCCTAGAAAGATGCTTAACTGCCTGATGAAACATTACTGTAGATGTTGCTCAGAAAAAATAGAAAAAACAAAGTTAGCAACATAAAAAAATAAGTGTGCACACTCTTTGACCCAACAATTACAATTCCAGGAATTTATCCCAAAGGAAATAATCAAGGATGCACTGTTCATAATAGTGAAAGATTACCAATAACATAAACGTTCAATAATAAGCTTTCTTAAAAAATTATGGCACATCAGGGGGCTGGCCCAGTGGTATAGCAGTTAAGTTTGCTCGTTCAACGGCCGCTTGGTCAGCGGCCCAGGGTTCGCCGATTCAGATCCTGGGCGCAGACCTATTCACCACTTATCAAGTCACATTGAGGTGGCATCCCACATAGAAGAGCTACAACTTTACAACTATGATATACAACTATGTACTGGGGCTTTGGGGAAAAAAAAAGAAAAAGAGGAAGATTTGCAACAGATGTTAACACAGGGCCAATCTTCTTCAAAAAAAATTATGGCACATCAATATAATGGAATTCAATTAAACTTTATACATGGAATTAAGAAAATTATTTATTGATATGAAAAAAGCAAATGATTTATTAAGTGAAAAAAAGCAGGTAACAAAATGATGTATGATCCCATTTTGTTAGAAAAAATATCTATCTAAAAATATATAAATGCTTACAAAATACTGAAAGTTGAGATCAAAAATTAACAGTGGTTAGGGCCAGCCCGGTGGTGTAGTGGTTAAGTTTGCAGGCTCTGCTTCAGCAGCCCCGGGGTTCGCAGGCTTGCATCCTAGGCAGAGACCTACATACCACTCATCAAGCCATGCTGTGGTGGCGTCCCACGTAAAAAAAATAGAGGAAGACTGGCATGGATGTTAGCTCAGGGACAATCTTCCTCACAAATTAATTAATTAATTAATTAACAGTGGTTATATCTCAGTGTTGGAATCAGGTAATATCAGTTTTCTTCTGTGCTTTCTTCTACTTCCAAATTTTTTTCTTTTATAAAAGTATGTTATACTTTTCAATGAGATTTTTAAATGTTATCAAAATTTATATACATATATATTTTTAAATGTTAACTAATTTGGAGTCCCTGACAATATTTTCTTTCTTTCTTTTATTTTTATTTTAAACATGTATCTTCTTTCCTATTTCTGCTTTGCTCCTGCTGACACATACTATCAGAAATACCTTCCATAAATTTAATTTGTTAACCTCAAATTGTAGTACTCTCTTCTGTGTATTGAAACATGATTTGGTTCTAGGCTCTGATGGAAATAAGGCGACATTTTAAAACAAAGAAGCCCTTACCTGAATATCAGTCAATGTGTCCAAAATCCGGCTTGCAAGCTTAGGACCATTTTCCATAGTTGGAATGTGTATAGTCTATGGAAGAAAACCAGGCACAAGATAATTTGAGGATAGTCATGTATCCAGTGACAACAAGTAAGACACTCAGCAATTCTAGATATTAAGGAAATTCCGCTGAAATAAAGAATGACACTTTGATGACCTGATTATGTATGCTAGCTCCTTATACCAAAGATTCTTTTCCATTCCAAATCTGAATAAAAACTAACTAGCCAATGATAGGTGGTTCACTGCCTACCAACTGATTTTAGTGCACAACTGGTTTATACGTCAGTCTTTAGGCTGATTTGCAGAATCAGTGAGAAGCTAGAGGTACCTAAAATAGTGGCTAAACTTAAAGAACCCTACCTCTTCCAGCATTCTGAGAATCTCCAAGGATGAATGATTGGCCTCCACATCTAACTCTCTCTGCAGGGAATGAGAACTCAAAGATATTTTGCCACAAATTAAAGCACATCATTTCAGGGATGTAAATTAAAACAAGTCTCTGCTGTCACAAAAGGGGCTTCTAAACCTATGTCTGTTCCAAGCCAAACTTCCAGGGGCCACAACCTCCACCATGTTGGATAGCATGGTTAAATTCAGGGCTGAGAGAGATTTCATGATCCTAATTCGTATATGAGTCATGCCCATTCATGCCTGGCTTGCAGGCCTTTGATAGTTTGATTTTAGGAGATAGTCCATGCTCTCACTTTTCTTATTATATCTTTCAGGATAATAGGATAATTAGATATACTTTTGGCTTTAAAAGTCCCCTGAAACAAGACCATCAAAAATGTTAAACTTGGGGGCCGGCCCCGTGGCATAGTGGTTAAGTGCGCGTGCTCCGCTGCTGGCGGCCCGGGTTGAGATCCTGGGCGCACACTGATGCACTGCTTGTCAGGCTATGCTGTGGCAGTGTCCCATATAAAGTGGAGGAAGATGGGCACAGATGTTAGCCCAGGGCCGGTCTTCCTCAGCAAAAAGAGGAGGATTAGCATGGATGTTAGCTCAGGGCTGATCTTCCTCACACACACACACAAAAGTTAAACTTTATAAACTTTTTATTTCTAGAGGTGAAATAATAATTGGACTTAAAAAAATCTGACCTAATGACAACCTTAGTTCATTAAAAAAGTAAACCAATAATATATTACCTAGATACTACCATAGCACAATATGAAACAGCAGCTTTATAATCAGTACAAGTATTGATATATAATAGAATAATTCTTCTAGAATTAGGTCAGGAACCATCACCTAAAAGCAAGTTAAAATATCTCAAGCAATGAAGCAGCCACCATTAAAATCAGCAGAAAAAAGTCAATCTAACCAGCTGAGGAAAAATAATTATAATGTTGAATTTAAAAACCAATAGAATTTGTACTTAGTATGAGTAACTTAAGCCAATTCACATTTTAAGAATAATACCCACATGCCACGCCTTCAGGTTATTAAGTTAGATGATGGTAATCATAAGTATTGGAGCTTTGTTATAAAGAGGAAAGCAAAAAAACTGACCAAAACATGGGAGTACAGCACACATAAAATCAGACTAATTCACTGGGAGGAGAAAATTTCCAACCAAATGCTTGAATTCCTTTTGGAAAATTTTAGTAAATGCATCAGGTTTGCCAAATGAAAAATTTTTGTCAAGTGGTCTAAATAATAACAACAGCAATAATAATAATAAATAATGTAGGTGTTAATCATTCAAATGAATTTTCTGTAACTATTTGCCATTCCCACTCCAGTAGTTTGCAACTACTTTTGGAAACCAGATACTGAAATCTAACTACTACTTGTAGAATCTTCCTTAGTGAGCTGGTAGAGAGAAATGAGTGGAAGTCTGTTGACACATCTCCAATCCCTAAATTGACAGAAAGCAAACATGATACTTGTCCAAGGACAAAATTGACTTCCCACCATGTTGGAACTTACACAAAATCACTGGCAAGATTGAGAGTAAGTAATTTGCTAACACAGGTTCACCAGGACAAACTGCCCCAGTTAACAGAATGCCAAGTTATAAAAAAAAAAAAAAATTCACCGTATCCTGGGTCCAACTAGCATTTCATTCATACATTAAAAATTAAATTACAGGCAAATGCTTGGAAATGACACGAAGTGAAGAAACACCGTCTTACCTCACCCTTGTACAGTATATCAGAAACTGGGCAAACAACGCAGGCTGTCCCAGAGCCAAACATCTCCCTCACTCGGTTCCCCTCCAGGGCTGCTGTCAAGTCATCCATGGTGAGATACCGCTCTGACACCTTAAATTCACCCTGTTTGGAACATAAAGTTAAAAAATACATTTTTTTCAAGGAAAAGGCATGCAAAAAGAGCCCTGCAGTCCTTACCTTTCTACTTTACGTTCTGATTAAACTCAGATAATGTCATAATCATCCTTAGAGGGAAAGCTGGAGAGAGCAACACCATCTTATTGGTAAATACACTGAGGTGTTAAGCCACCTGCTCCAGGGTCACAACGTCTCTAAAAACCTACGTCAAGATCACAGCATCTCTAAATGAGATGATAAGAATATACAATATAAGATTTTCACTATAAAATTCACTGTTAATTTTAATACACACCTTTTTTCCTGCCTTTTATTTGTTGTCATGACTAAAGTCTCACAAGTTGATGCACCTCGAATGCTACTTAATGTGTGCTCTATGCTAACAGTGTTTTAAACCCTATTTATCATAAAGGAGAATATATTATATAATATTAATAATTATAGCTACCATTTATCGAGCACCCATTGCACACCAAGTTCTCTCATTTTTAAGATGAGTATTATTATCCCCATTTTACAGATGAGAAAATTAAGGTTCAAGGAGGTTGAGTGACATCCCTAAGGCCACACAGCTAGTAAATGGCAGAAACTAGATCTGAACTCAGGTCTGATCTGACTGGTTCCAAATTTGGTCCTCTTTTCACTCTGCCTTTTATGGAGTAAAAACATAGACTGAGTTAAAATATCTGAAATATTTCCTTGTTTTAAAACATTGAAAGTATATTTAAGAAAGTGTATATTTTTTTCTTCCTAAATTCACTGATTCAGTTGAGTTTACAGCAGTAATCCTCTTCCTTCTCTTTCGTATCATATTAGGTTGAGTTTCATTGTAGAATTATTGGCATAAGCTCATCGACTTCTGCTGGACTATTGGAACATTTTATTTGCTCAAAGATATGAAGTGGAAAAAAGAATTCTGATGCTTTCAAGCTATGTTTGAACTATCTGTTTAGTACTCATTCTTTAATCTGTCAAATTCTCATTCTTTTATGTTAGTGGTTAGAGTTCAAAGTCTGTCAACAGGCCATTTGAATTAAGGCAACCAAGAATGGACAGATTTTTTTTTAATAAGATGAGAGTATTTTTTAAAACCTACAAATCCACAACAGATAAAAATGGAAATCACAGCCCTTGTCAAGATTCAAAACATTCAAAGAATGCATCATGCTGTAAGTATATTTGGAAGGGTAGGAAAACATGTCTGCAATCGAAATATGGCTTTTTGCAAGTTTCAATTGATCTCAGTCTGCAATTGCAATTATGTCGTTCAAAGGTAAATAAATAAATAAATAAATTCCAGAAAATTGGCCAAGTTAACTGAAAACAAGTTGAGTTCTGTGTTCTGGAAAAGGAAAAAAAAAAAAAAATCTCTCGTAAATAAACAGAATTGTTTTTACTCTGCTCACCCTTACTTATCTTTGGACAATTTTCCCTGTCTGGCAAGTAATGGTAACCCCCCACATGCCTCTTGGCATTTATGTCTCACTGTTTTAAAATAGCTTTTAAAATAAATTACAGCTAAGGAGTCAAGAAAAAACTTCCTCCATAATAACCTATTTTTCATGCTAGCAAATCATTAGTGGGGAAAAGCATTTCCACTTGCAACTTGTCATCAAACCTTCTGTACTTGGTTGATTTTTTTCTTTAATAAAACAAAAATTACTGAGCTTCGAAAATACATCTTTCCAACTGCAAACATATTTAGGACAGGGCAAGCTGTTTGAAATTATACCAACAGTTTGTAAATGTCATGCCCAACGTGCCAGCCAGCATGTGGCAGTTGGGTCTTGTCTACTTTGGGGTTTTGTAGAATTATTTATAGTACATTTCCTCTATTTCCAAAGCCTTTTCCAGAGAAACTGCACTCTCCTAGATAATGTGTGTGTTTCTAAACATTTGTCCTATTAGTACCGTTTGACCACAGTATGCTCAAAACCTTTTCATGTCCCTTGGAGACCATTTTAACACATGGGTCAAAAGTTCCATCCAAGAACCTTTGCCAGATAACCAACTCATTCAATATTCATCTTGAAAATGTTATGTCATTTCCAATACTGAATGGTTGAACATGCTTGCCTGTGTCACATGGATTAGAAAGTCTACTGAACACAACTTTATATTTGCTTGCATGTTTTGATTTTAAAATAAGTATGTATGTGAATTTGGGAGGACAGGGGGCAGGAAAGAGAAAGAAGGCAGCCAGACTAATAATGTTATGTTAGTAGACATTCATATGTCAGTAAAATTCTTTAATATATATGACAAGCATGGTTACACTGGAATAAATAAAGGGAAGAACTACTTATCATTGCCATTTGAAAACGATGCCCTCAGACTTTAAAAGTCAAGGACTGAAGTATAAACCAGGTGAGTTGGTAAGAGAAACTTGGTATAAAGCCTGAGACTAGTACTAGAATACTTCTTCTCTAGGACAGCTTGCTAAACTGGTTTCTCTCTGCCCTCCCTATAAACAATACTTATTTGATAGTCTTGCCAAGACAGTCCTTCCAGAAGAGTTCTTCTCACTCAAGTTAAGATTTAGAGATTAGATAACATTGGTTGGAAGTACAGGATATTATTTCAACATTAAGCTGAGCTTATCGTGATTACTTTTTGTTTCATGCTTATAAAAGTTGTTCATGTCAAAGGCACCCACCCATTTGTGTGCCAGGTCCAGAATGCTCTGCCTTGTCACTCCTGGAAGAATGATGCCATCTAGCGGAGGAGTTGCCAGTTCTTCTTCTGTCAATTAGAAATTGGAATATTTTCAAACTTCAACTATATTAGCCATGCCTTATATCAATAGCCATTTTTAAAACCGTTTCTTGCAATTTTGCTAGTAAGAACCATGAAGACAATGTTACTGTTGTGCATTGTCAAATTTCCCAAATCAATTCACACTTCAGGTAGATCCTTATTATTATTTTTTTTGTGTGAGGAAGATTGGCCCTGAGCTAACATCTGTTGCCAGTCTTCCTCTTTTTGCTGAGGAAGACTGGCCCTAGGCTAACATCCATGCCCATCTTACTCCACTTTATATGGCATGCCACCACAGCATGGCTTGACAAGCAATGTGTCGGTTTGCGCCGCAGATCTGAACCCCCAAACTCCCGCGCGCGCACTTAACCACTACACCACCGGGCCGGCCTCCTAGATCCTTGTTTTTTTTTTAAAAAAAAATAAGAAAGAAGAAAAAGAAAGAAAGCTATTCATCTAATCATCTTCAATTTATCCTATAACTAATAAAAAATGACATGGTTTTCCACTAACAGTAAGAGTTATAGAGTCTCTTAAAAGGAACATTCTAAAGTCAAAATTAACCTTAGTGGATTAAAGCTGGTTAGTCATTAGAATAATGTAGGTAGGATCTTACTCAGAAACACTGGTCATTACCAAAACTTCTAAGAATACTGTGGAAGAACTCACTCCTGAGAAGCATGTGTGCCTACTCAGGCTGGTCACTGCTCCCACAGTGCCCTTCGATAAGTCTATCTAGAGTGATTTTCAAACTTGGTGGAGTATCCATCACATATGGAGATGTTGACTTTACCCTCTGAGATTCAGATGTCATGGGCTCAGGGTGGGCTCAAGCATGTACATGGCTAACACAGAAAAAAGAAAGAAAGAAGAAAAAGAGAAATCCAAAAAACAAAACAAAACTCCATGGGTGACTCAGAGAGAGCCAAGGCCGAGACACTGGTCTACTATGAGAATGACCACAGGCACTAACCACCGTGACATCTGGCATGATGATCTGTCTACAAGAGTCAGTGTGGTCCATCAACCGCACAAGCTCTTCTCAACATCCTCCTCTCCTCCGACACCCAGGAATCTGAATCTCATGAGAAATTCAAAACTTAAACTATCACTTTATAAAGATGTTGAACCTTACAACAGATCATGTGCTGCCCATCATATGTTTGCAGAGGAATTCACGAGGTATGCTTGAAAGGATCACCAGGTAGCGAAAACTGTGTAGAAATCATACTGGTGTCTTTGAGCTCCAATCCCCAAGCCATTTTAAGCAGCTAAACAGGATTTTAGAAATGACCTGTGCAATCCTTATTTTACAGAAGAAACTGAGGCCCTATAAACAGAAGTGACTTGCCAAAGTTGGTGACACTGGGGGACAGTCAGGACCATAGCTTAAGTGACCCAACACTGGGGCCACTGCCTTTTCCTTCAGTATATTGTGGTTACATCAGACATCCCTAACAGCCAAGCTGCCTGGAAGAGCAAAACTCTATATTCACTCCGTGTCCCCAAAACTCAGCATCACGTCTGGCCCAGAGTGGTATGTAACGTTTTTGGAAAAAAAAAATAAATGAATAATCCTCTTTATGCTAGGATACAGCAGTATGATTTTTCTGAATTATTTCTAAAAATCATCTGATGAAAACCACTTTCTGGAAAGAAAAAAATTGTTCTTGGCAATGTTCTTAAGGCTACTTTTTGTCATGGTTGAAAGTGTTGATCTCGAAATAAATGTGTGTTTTGCAATAAATAGCTGGCTAGCTAGATACATAAATGTACGGATCTATATGTGTGTGTATATGTGCGCACACAAACTACATATAGACAAACATACTTCCAATGCCCCCAAACTGAACCTTTCCTAAAGCTTGCTGAGCTCTGACTATATAAACTTAAACAGAAACAGCGGCCCTGCATGTGCAAATGCAGTTTTGTAAAATATATTTAACACCCAGACTGTAACCACTAGCCTGAGGTCAAGGAACAGAACATCTGTTTCTCTGGTTGCGAGACAGAGATGATGACATGACAACATTTGGGTGAGAAATATTCATTTTCCTCTGCAACCACAAACATGCTTAACAAGAGCCAGAACTAGCTCCAGATTGCCCAACTTGAGGAAAACAGAGCCTACAAATGTAGCTTGTTTTTGACAGAGAAATCATTTTAAGGAGATGAAGAATTTAGAACCAATAACAGCAGGATGCATCCATGACTTCCCAAAGTCAAGCACTAATGGGAACCAGGAATGTGGGTTTGCCTAAGTGCCTAAACACCATTAGCACCATTATTCATTTGTTCAACGAATATATACTGAGGGCCTCCCATGTGCAGTTGGCTCTTCTAAGCACTGTGGATACAGCAGTGAGCAAAACTAAGATAATTCCCTGCTTACTTTCTAATATACAGAGGAGAACAATTATTATGTTAAATAGTATGTTAGACTAGGGAGGGAAAAAAAGAGGGAAGGCAATGGGGAGTGCTGGGGAAGGGAGGTTGAGATTTTCAGTAAGGTGTTCCAGGAAAGCCTTACTGAGAAATGGACATGTGGGCAAAGACTTGAAGTAGGTAAAAGAACAAGCCATGCAGGCATCTGAAGGAAGAACACTCCAAGCAGAGTCGGTACATATGCCTGATGTCCGAGAAGGCTCATGGGGCCTGAGTGGACTGAGCAGTGTCACCACTCATTGCCATGATCCTTCTCCCAAACTAACTGTGAACCCAACCACAACAACTGGGTCTTATTCTCAAGGTAGCTTCAGTGGCCAGTGCAAGATAAAAGTGTTTTTCCAACAGTTAACAGCAAGTGTGTGTGTTCAATTACTCATCAACAGAGTGAAAAAGAGAATTCAGGGCTGTGGGATCTTACCACCAGGGTTGCTGTTACTGGAATCAAAACCCACATGAGTTACAGGCCAAGTGCCACAAATTAGTTATTGTGCACAGTACTGTGCTGTGAACACAGATTATCTACTTGATCTGTCTTTCTGAGGCAGCCATCTTGTCCAAAACGAACAGTGAGCGTGGGTGCTCATGGGAAGATGGCAGGTTACTACTGAAAGAATTCTGCTTATACCTCCTGATGGTCAAGTTTGGGAAAAATCAATATTTTGCTGATTTTCAACTCATTATTCTTTGTATTTCCTTAAAACCACATGGTATAAATCAAAGTTACTAGAGTCGTTTCAATGCCTTTTTTTCTTTTAGCCCAAAGGTTATTCCTGACATTCTACTTACCTCTTTCAGAGTACTATTCAAACATTTATTCCATTTCCTTTCTCCTTACTTCAGATTTTATCTGATCTGTCAGGTGAACCCTCAAATTGAAGGAGCATAGTCACATTAAAACTAAAATTATCTCAGGCAACCATAATCTGAATAGTAACTCTTAAGGTCTTGTATATTTTGTAAGAGTCAGAAGACAAATTCACTCATTTCTATTCTGACCTTTAAAAGCCACAGTGGAAATGGTCCATGATTATTGTTTGGATAAGGGGTAATTTTTCACCAGGACAGTTTCTGGTGTTTCTGGTTAAATCATGTAGCTCTGATTCAGACTATGCTTAAATTTTGACATGTCTCATCCATAAATAATGATGGTGCCACTTCTGTATGATGTAATTGTTTTTGTTCGGGGCTGTGTGGGGTTTTTTTGTTGGGGGTGGAAGTGGGGGTTGGTGGTGAGAGTGGGCAGGTGGGAAGAATGAATTGAATCAATTTATTTTCTCCTAAGTACAGAGTTCAACACTGGCTGTCATCTTTCAAGCATAGCTTTTGATATATGTCATATGCAATAACTCAAATTTGGAAATCACAAATATTCCAGCATAAATTTTGTTTTTAAATAGTGCCAAGTACAAACAACAGGAATGAAAGAACGAGCATGATCTGGCTTTTCATATGCCAAGGATTACCAAGGGCCAACCCCAGGACAAGGTGTACTCACCACACCTTCTGTTTATTCTACCTCTGACTTGAATATAAGTCTCATCTTATTAGTCTCTGCAACTCATGCTCAAATTAGTGCATACCTCTGAAGTCAGCCACTTCTGAATCACCATTTTCCTCTATTTGTAGCCAAATAACAAAGGAACAATAAATAGAGGCTACTGTAGATACTTTAAAATAAAAATTTCATTTAAAATTTTCACATGAAAACAGTATTGAGACGTCATAAGAATTTGGAAACTTATCATTTTACATTTCTAGTCTCTATACTCAGTACTGTGAAATAAACAGCCTAAGAACAAAAATAAGCCTAAAAATATGTTTAAATTTTTTATGACTATTAAAATTCTAATGGAAATAAATACACATATCTGTATTTTTCCCCCGTTACTGGACATTTAATCCAATACCATAGACATTGACAACACTTCACCGAACCCCTATAGCCTGCCAACTAATTAAAAAAAGAATAGCAAAGAGAGGTAATGAGCATTCAGAATATTAAAGGTAATAAAGGAGTACTGATTTTTATAGTAGACATATATTAATAGTCTTGAATGAACCAGGATCTAAGTGTAATCCCAAAATAAACTAATTTGTCCTTAAAAATAGTGTGCTTGAATAAAATGAGCTCCAGAGTAAATCTGGAAGGCTCTTGATGTATTATCAAAATATATAGAAAGGGCAACAGTTGTTTAAAGAATTATAGCAAGAAAGTACACTAAATATCAAATCAGTAGACTATGCTGATTACTATAGAATGTTATACATATGCATAATGTATATGTAAACTGGTGTATATGGTGACTATATATGTAAATGCATATGGTGAATGACCATTGAATTGATCTGAGACTTATCTACAAATGTAAGGGATTTCAGATAGGAAAACTGTTAAGAAGATGGCGAAGGGGATAAGGCAGCAAATATTCAAACTGTGGAGATTTAAATTCTTCAAGTTGATATCTCAATAATAAATATATCTAGAGCCAAAAAACAAAAACAAAACTTTTATAAATTCTGTAAATTTAAACTCATTTGTACTTGGACAGCAAAATCAGTGGCTCTTAGCCTTTGGAATTGTGCTACTTATTGCCTTGTTCTAAGGTTCTAGTCCTTTTCTTTCCAGTCCCATTGAAAATGACTGAAAAATAGCAAAGAGCTGAAATGTTAGTGGATTACCTCCATCTTCATTTATCCAATAAAGAAAAAGATTCATAGTTCCAACTTCGGTTATCTGATTATCCTCTCCATAGAGCCACAGAACCTGCTGACAGCCGTTATCCATTGCTTCACATTGGGCAAAAAGACCTGAGCCATAATTCCTTTTAAGAAAGAGGAAACATACTGATTATGAATATACTACCCCCTATCTTCCATACTAAGATTCTCAAGTCTTTAACTTGCACGTGGATGTAGTCAATGTACTATGTTCTTTCTATATATATATATATATACACACACACACACACACACACACGTATATATGTAGGTCTATATATTCTCTAGTTAACTTCACAACATTAAAGGAAACTCATTAGAGGACCTAAATGATCTAATCACACTCATTTGAGAGAGAGAACAAAGCAAAATCATGGAATCCTAACTTGAAAAGTAGAGATAGAAGAACACAGGTAAACAGCCAAGTTAATGATAACAGTCAAAAAAGTTACTATTTTTTTCTCATACCAAACATTTTCTACGAATTATTTCATTTAAACCTCACACTAATACTATGAGTTAGCCACTATCATTATCTCCAGAGTTCAGATGAGAAATTGAGGTTTAGGGAAGTAACTTGTATCAAGTTACATTAATTAAGCAGCAGAGCGCCAAGCCTGTGCTCTCTTAACTCAGACCTTTCAACATACCCAAGAAACATCTAATGTCCAATGTCCAAATTCTCCAAAAGGTGGGACCCAATGTTAAAAATCCTGATTTTAACCAAAAAGTACTCTGAAAGCCCATTTTTCTCAACCTGCACTATGGCATCCCAGATTATTCAAAATCAAAGGAACATAGCACATCTTCCTGGATTAACAATTTAGTTTAATAATATTTTAAATTTATTATCTTTTATTAAACTTCAATGGGAAAATTATGAAGTATATTACAAAATATGGATGAATGTCTTAGATCAAACATGAGAGTCCTCAAATAAACGTGATGCTTGCTTGCCTCCCTAAGCCCCTGGTTGTGTAATTCACTGTCCTTGGCTTTCAGAGAACATTAGCAAACAAGTTTGAGAAGCACTACCATATGATAGTCAGGGCTAGGAAATAAACCCTAGATTCACTCTTGGACTTTGAAGCCCCCAGAAGTACACAGAAACAATCAAACATACAACAATAACTACTCAAACCATTGATGTTATCTTCTGCAAAATACCAACCTAGGCCTTTTAAATGATCTCTTTTACATCTGGGCAAGATTAAAATGTGTATGTAGTATTGTCTAAGTAAAAGTGTAAGTTAAGCACAAGAGCCATATATTATAGTGGCTATCTGCCATTTCTATCTGCACAGCTTCCTTTTCCACTAAATTCTCTTTGGCCCTTTGTATGGAGCCAAGTCATTCTGCTTCGGTTGACAATCATAGCATCTTGCCCTGCACAACTGAACTAAAGGGTGAGCATGTAACCTAAGCTGCTCATAGAAGTCCTTCTTTGAGTTCATTCACTCATTCTTTTTAATGTATGGAACCTGAAAGACGTATTTTCTCCCTTTGGGGGTAGTGGTCGCTTGTCTACTAGGAAGTAAGCCTGGCGTCTATTGTGTCCATGATCACCACCCTTCATAGGAGAAGGCATCTGAAGCAGGAGAGCCCTAGGCTAAGGCATAGCCAGAATCTATGATAAGAGATGAAGAGAGGAGGGAAGGAGAGAGTACAGAGGAGAGGGAGAGATTGGGGGTTGGGGATGGTGGGCAGTACACATTTAAGGGCAAAACAAACTTGGCAATGATTTGAGCCCTTAGCAGGTCCACTGCTACTATCCTACTTACACGAGCCAATCAATCCATTTTCTGCTTAAGATGGTTTGAGTTGGTTTTCTGACTTGCAACTCAAAGAATGTTGACTAGTAACAGAAATATTTGACAAAGCTATGGGAAACAGGAATTATACTATATGGCTATTGCAATCTGGAGCATGATGAGATTTACTCACACCAAGGCAATGTTAAGATTCATTGAAAAGACCCTCAAAATACATACTTCGAAATGCAGATAACAAAATGTAAATAGCTGGTCAATCTAGAGATAATAAAATTCTGGTATATAGGAGTATTTTATTTGTTTAATGACCATAAAAAGTCAGATCACCCATATTCAGAACAGATGGTAAACAGGCAATAACTGAGTTAAATTATGAATACTTTTTAATAATAAGTATAAATCAGACTGCAGGGGGAGTCCAGTGGAAAGAGCGTGGGTTTGGGGCCAGCTGGCCTGGGTGAAGCTCCTGCACTTCTATCCGGCTATAAAGAAATTTAATCAAGCAAGTCAGTTCAAATTTTTGTCTCACTGAATTCACCTGGCAAATAAAAATATCTGTTTTATATACTGCATAGGGTAGTTTGGAAAAAATAAAATAATAAAAATAAAAGCTAAGAAACAGGTTATATAAGCCTGTTATATGAAATGAAGTTTTATAAAAAAATAACTATTTTCATTTACTCTTCTCTAGTTCATAGACACAACTGTTGAGATTTTACCATGTCTGAAAATTAAGAAATGATTTCTCTCATAATTAAAGTGCGCTTTACTCTATTAAAAAACACATAGAGAATTTTCACAGTATGAATATCTAGCCTTTCAAAGAAGCTTCTAAAAAAACCCACACATACTTTTGAGAGTATGGCTGAATTACAACCATGGTTCCTCAGCATCATGAAGCTACTTGGGCAGGAAAAAGAATTAAAGATCTCGACTATCCTAGAGCATTGAAAGGAAAAGGGGGTTTTTATCTGTTTGATTGATTAATTTACTATTATATTCTATAGGTGATGTTTTTCTCCAAACACAAGTTTTTCCTCAAACTTCTCTCTCAGGTGTAAACTGTATCACTAACGTTCACAAGGTAATTGATACATTGGTAGTATGGTTGGGTTTTCTCCCATGTGCTGCCATAATTTAGAATAGAAACACATGTCCTTGGAGGAAAGAGAAAAATGAAAAAGAGGGAAAACTGTCTACATAGAAAAATTTTAACATAATTTTAAGTAGAATAAATATCTGGGAGAATAAAGATATTAAATACATCCCTCCAAAAGAATAAATTCTATTGCGTGAAATCCAACTGACTGCTCCTAAGATAAAGAACGTCCAGGAGTTGAAATAAGAAAGTAAGAAAGCCTTATAATATCAACTATTGTCTGTTGAGAAGTTACCACCTGCTGGGCACTAAGTACTTAACCCCATTATTTCATTGAATCATCTAAAAACAACCCTAGACTTTATTATTCTTTTGAGGACTTGCAGGAAGAGAGGACTTAACTGTACAAGATCACAGATATAAGTGTGTGACTCCCAGGTATCTTTGGTTCCCAAGCCCATGCCATCAACTGCTAGGTTGTAACACCACATTTACTGAGAGTTTCCTACATGACAACATGGTCCTCGGCACCTTATTATTACCTCACTTAATCCTCACAGGTACGGTGGATATTATTACCCTGACTTTATAAGTGAGGAAACTGAGGCTTAGAGAAGTTAAGTAACATGCCCAAGGTGGTTAGGTTTTTAAGTGAGGTCTTTCTGACTTCTAAGCTTGAACTCAAGTACAGAATGAGAATATAAGGAAAAAAGAACAAAATTAAGATAGAGAGAGAGAGAGAGAGAGGCCTAATTCATTCCAAATTAACTAAGAAACTAAGAAATTTCCTGGGAAGAAAGATGTTCCTATGACGAAAGACCTTCTTCTAGCTCAGTGTTTCTCAACTTTAGCTGCACATTAAAAAAATCCTGATGCTCAGGCTATTTATCCGCCAGACCAAATAAACCAGAATCTCTAGCGGTGAGACCCCAACATTAGTATAGATCTTTCTCGACTTACGATGCCTCATAGACCCATCATAAGTTGAAAGTATTTTAAGTCGAAAATACATTTAATACACCCAACCAACCGAACATCATAGCTTAGCCTAGTGCTCAGAGCACTTACATTAGCCTACAGTTGGGCAAAATCATCCAACACAAAGCTTATTCTGTAATAAAGTGTTGAATATCTCATGTAACTTACTGAATACTGCACTGAAAGTAGAAAGCAGAATAGCTGTGTGGGTGGAGAATGGTTGTTAAGTGTATCGGTTGTTTCTCTCATGATCACGTGGCTGACTGGGAGCTGTAGCTCACTGCCGCTGCCCAGCATCACGAGAGAGTATCCTAGGGCATATCACTAGCCTGGGGAAAGACCAAAATTCAAAATCTGAAGTATGGTTTCTACTGACTGTGTATTGCTTTCACACCATCATAAAGTTGAAAAACTGTAAGTTGAACCATTCTAAGTTGGGGACTGTCTGTAGTTGGTAAAGCTCCCCAGGTGATTTCAATTTGCAACCACAGGTGAGAACTGCTGTGCTAGAACTCTCCTCAGCCGTGCACCATTGTATTACTTTTCTCACTAATGTACATTTAGAAATAAAAGGATGATATTATCTCTGGTGGCTTCAAAATAGTAGAATCATCTTAGAATTAAAAAAAAAAAATCCTTCTCTCCCTTCCTCAGATTCACTTAGATAGAAAGCAGAAAGTTCTTGAGCTTACGAAAATCAATAGCTATTTAATAAATACCAATTGATTACAGAGGTGCTAAAAAAAACTTGGAAGGTAACTACTGAATTAATTAGGTTTAAAAAAGAGGAGTTATACACAAACCTAAGGTTGCCACCAACTATCTTTGGCAACTAAATAGGATGATACCAAATGCAAAATCATTTGTTTCCCTTGTACTTCTCCTGGTTTGAAGCATAGGAGTAAAGAGCTTTGGAACTTCTTGGAAACAATAGGCAGCTGGGATGAAAGTCCATCCTTTTGGTTACCACCTTCCCTCTAGCCATTTTTGCTTGTATTTATGAGATCACTCACTAAGAGATTGCAATTCAACTTCCATTGACCATGGTCCACCTGAGCCTAATAAGTCAAAGTAATAATTTATTTTATAATTGACTCTATTTTTAGAGCAGTTTTAGGTTTACAGAAAAACTGAGCAAAAAGTAGAGTTCCCATACACCCTATCCCCTCACTTCACTTCCCCCTATTATTAACATCTTGCATTAGTGTGATATACTTGTTATAACTGATGAGCTAGAAGTGATACACTATTATAAACTAAAATCCATAGTACCATTAGGGTTCACTCTTTGTGTTGTACAGAAAGTATTAATTTCTAATTGGTTTATAGAGATTATGTATTCTGTGATACTGCATTATATCATCTTTATAATAAATAACAACCCACATACCAAAACTAAAGATTTCCCTGCAATTTCTCAATGTCCCCATGTTATCTTTTCCCTGGGCAGGTAGGGGGAGCTAGAAAGCAAGATTTAAAGAAGAAAAACTATTTTAAATTATTACCTCTTCATCAACATTGCTGATTTACTGTAACGTGCACTCTAAGAGAAGTTTTAACAAAGTCATACACGTGGTATGCAGTGGTGCATCTGCATGTGCTCTGTGAGGAAGTCTGAACAAGTCAAAAAGAAATCAAGAGAGTCAACAAAAGTGGCTTTTTCAACCTGGCTAGCCCAGGACATAGTCAGGAAGGAGTGTTCTAAATGAGAATGAAAAGCAAGCAACTTCTTAGCTTAACAGACTCCATTAGGATTTCTCTGCCACTGAGAGCACGCAGTTGCTAAAAATGCCAACTGTGATGACGGGACGTAGAATTTTATAACCACTTTGTTTTCGTAGAAAAGAAAAAAGAAATACAGAAAGACTACAGAGGGGTCAAAGCCAGCTGTCAGTGTCTTTCTCATTTCCCAGCAGCACATCATTTGACTCTCCCAGGGCTCCCTGAATCTACATGTTTTACCAGAGCCCAGAAGACTGCCATTGAGCCACCTTCCAGGACTGCTGCTGCCCTGGGTATGTGATACACATCAGCACTTGATATACACAAAGGAAGAGCCCACGCTGGTTAATCCAGCTATTCTTATTCACCCAGAGGGGCATTCTCCATTCACAGCCAAGTCCACCCCTGAAACTGTCTAACACTTCTCAAATGCTCTTTTATTTCTAGCCAGCTACATATGGCCTATGAGACTGGCCTGACAGAGCCAAGGCAGGGCTGTCCTTCAGCCAGTTGGCAGCAGGTATGGCTACAATCTGTGGCAATGAAGACAGCACTTCAGTGAAGCAGGCACCTTCCCCAGACAGGACTCCTTGGAGCCAACTGAGAGCCTTGGCTTCGGCACCAGATGCTCTCTAATGCCAACCATCAGCCTGCAGCCAGAGGACCAGCTTCCAGGGGCAGATCATTCAAAGCACAGATTTGATTCCTGTTTTAGTTCCTTATTTTAGTTCTTGCCTACGTGTCACATTCAATGTTTCTCCCTTATTAAAGATTATCCTTTAAACAACTAGCAATTTAAAACACTGAAAACTAAACAAAAATGACCATTACAATCTGAATATTAATATATGTACTTGTACTGACGTGAAATGGCAATAACTAAATGGTCGTGAGGGACTCTTCCCTTTAGAGAGAAACACAGACTTACTTACCCTCCCATCTTGCAGTCCCCAGTCCCACCTTTCCAGGCTCTTACATACTTCGGATTGGCCCACAGCGACACTGGACTAAAGGTTCCACTTGAAAAATAAGGTCCCACTGGGCTCAAGATTACAAAGATCAGGGCTTTGGTAGGCTTCTTGACTCCAAGAGAAGGCTGTAATAAAGTGAAAGCACACACAACTGTTAATTTCAAGTGCAGACACCAGTCTTAAAGTCTAGAAGAGATCTGTAACTATCTCCCAGAAAGAGCCATCTAAAGACAGGAGCTGTTACTTCTAAAGTTGAGTTACACAAAGCCTGAGGGTCTTTACGAAGAAAACACCAAGAATGCAGTACAGTCATGTGCCTCTTAACAATGGGGATATGTTCTGAGAAATGTGTCGTTAGGCGATTTCATCATTGTGCAAACATCACAGAGTGTACTTATACAAACCTAGATGGTATAGTTTACTATGCACCTAGGCTATGTGGTACTAATCCTATGGGACCACCATCGTATATGCGGTGCGTCTTGACGGAAAGATGTCGTTATACAGCGCATGACTGTACTTAAGTTTCATTTTGCTTTGCTTTCTGAGTTGTTATGATTTTAAAGGAAAAGCAAATTTGTCAGATTTTTTTATTAATGGGGTTTTTTAAAAAGTACATTTTTAACAATTAGCTATATATCATCTTTCAATGTTGTAGTGATTGGGAATTGAAAAAGGGAAGAACCCAGACATGATTTTAGTCTTTGGGGGTGAAATATAGTATTTGCATCTCTAATTTCCCTTTCTGTTTTCACAGACTACTGACCAGTTCAGGACATTCCAGGGCCTCTAGCAGGTGGTAGGTATAGGGGAGTGTGCCATTACCGCATCTAACTGACAGGTACCAGACAGGTAACATCCTCCCCCCAAAAAGGAGAGGATGAAGAACTCAGGAACTTCTATCATGAATGACAAGGATAGAAGATGGCCTTTCCCACAAACTCTGGAAAATCATAAGCCAACAATGCAAAAATCATACAAACTCCTCTAGTACAAAAGCAGTCATAAGTAGTTACTGTCAGTTGTTTATTAAGGAGGAAAATTGAGAAACTGAAAGTTTTGAGGGCTACATATTAGAAAGGCAAAAAAGGTCACTGGGCTATCCTGTGCAATTCAAGACTACAGGAAGAAAACAAGGCAGGGCTATTACATGAAGAGTCTTGGGATATAAATGCTTGTGTCCAATCTTCACCAGACCTGGATCTGGCTGGCTAGATGGGCATCGGACTCCGTCATGGAAAGAATGAGAGGAGACTCAATTCCAGCTGATTTTGTGTAATGTTTGATGAAACCGGCTGAAAGTGGATCCGGGGTATATTTTTGTCTGAATTTCAATTATATCTCCCCCTCTACTCTTGGCTCAAGGCCCCTCGCCCACTGCTTATGTCCAGATCATCAACAATCAGGTAGGTAAAATATTCGTGAGCATAAAGAAATGTGTTTGTCTGTGTGGACACTGATGCCATCTAAAAGGATGCAACCCTTAGGAAGTGGGGAGATGATTCCACTCACACTCCACGTGAACACTAGGACCAAGCAGGGCTCGGGTGGCCACAAAGCAAACGATAATGGATGACAGACAACCAAGTTAAAGAAATCAGTCAGCAAGCAACAACAGGTTTTGGTTTTCTGGTTGTCTAATGGGGGATGAAGAGGACTCCCCTACCAAAAAGAGTGAGGAGCCTTGGGCCGGCCCCGTGGCTTAGCGGTTAAGTGCTGGCGCTCCGCTACTGGCAGCCTGGGTTTGGATCCCGGGCGCGCACTGACGCACCGCTTGTCCAGCCACGCTGAGGCCGCATCCCACATACAGCAACTAGAAGCATGTGCAACTATGACATACAACTATCTACTGGGGCTTTGGGGGGAAAAAAAGGAGGAGGATTGGCAATAGATGTTAGCTCAGAGCCGGTCTTCCTCAGCAAAAAGAGGAGGATTAGCATGGATATTAGCTCAGGGCTGATCTCCCTCACACATACAAAAAAATAATAATAAAAAAAATATTAAAAAAAAAAAAAAATGAGTGAGGAGCCTTAAAGCTTCATTTGCCTTTTTTTGGTTTTATTGTTTGGAAGAGAAAACCTTGGAATAATATACATATCTGCCTTCCTTCCCAAATCTGATAAAAATTGACTATCTTATCTCTACACTTTTATTTATCAGTTAAGTAAGTATACCTCATATCAGAGGTGCTTTGAAGCTTAATATTTAAAAAAATTTTATTGATCTTCCTAATGAGGAATTAAGAGAAGCTTCTCAACATAATTTAGAAATACAATTTGCAGGACACAGTCTCAATAATTTACCTAGAGTTTCTGAATAAAACAGCTTATTTGTGGACAAACTAATAAGCATGTCATTAGATATCACAAGAATGCCTCGACTTTTCTCACTCTGAACTCACGTATTTTTTGCAACCTACATTATATGAATAAAAGTATCAATAACTCATCATCACGGAAATTTTTTCCTGATACATTTCATATTATTCATTTCCTTCCCCCTGATTTTAAGTAAGTAAACTTGCATTTATTCCACTAGGTGGCAGTATAGAGAGTACAAATGAAAAACAGAAGAACACTATGCATTAAACCTACTCCTGGAAAAAAAATATCTCCATAAACCTTTAAGTAATACTTTTATTCTTAGCCAGCAGGTAAATTATAGACTAGAACTTTTCAATGCTGAGAGAAAATGTGTTTATGTGTACTAACATTTTATTTTCTGAAATTTAAGCAAGGTCAACTCATGTTTTACAAGTACTTCAAGTATTGGTGTTGATCACAGCTTAGCCACCTTCATCCTTAAATGATTACTTATATCAACTGTCTTATGAAAAGAACTCTGTGACTTTACTGAAAATGGTCGAAAATGGTCACACTGCTCAAAAGTAAGAATAAATCAAATATAAATTTATGTATCAGGAAGGGAACTACGTGATTAGATCTGTTTCTACTCTCAGGAACTGTTATTTGTTCCTTGTCTTAATTCTCCCTTCTTTCCTGGAAAGCAATTTAAATTCTGTGCTACTGCGACAGTTGAGTAGTTTATTATATAACATTAATCAAATGGCAATGAACAAAACTCTATCATGATAGGGTCTGACTTCTGATCATATAAAGCAAAAGCCACATAAAGAGAAAATATGGAAGACAATAGCTGATAAGTTACTTAGACCCGTTTCAATAAGTCTTACTTTGATTAATTTTTTTATTCTTCTCTACTAGTTTCTTGGATTATTTCAATACATAAGGAATTCAAAGAGGTTTTTAAGAAACCTCATGAAATATGAGGAGTATAAAAATCTCAGATACAAAGTTTACAACTTCTCAAGGGACCACACTGACTTTGAAGTTGAAATTCTGATGTGTACAAAAAAATAAAGACTCTTTTTACTCTATAAGTTATACCTTGCAAATAACAAACACATGTACTGTATGAGGGTATTAAATATGTGTATAGGGTCGGCCCCGTGGCTTAGCGGTTAAGTGCATGCGCTCCGCTGCTGGCAGCCCGGGTTCGGATCCCGGGCGCGCACCACTTCTCCGGCTATGCTGGGGCCGCGTCCCACATACAGCAACTGGAAGGATGTGCAGCTATGACATACAACTATCTACTAGGGCTTTGGGGGGAAAAAATAAATAAATAAAATCTTTAAATATGTGTATATTATGCACAGAATAACAGGACACTTGGGTGTGATGGAAAATAAAGAGACATTTCACAGTGAAAATTACTACTTCTGTCTGAGTCAGTCAGAAAATTACTTTATAGAAAGGCAGGATTTCAGAGGTGATCTAAACGATGGCAGAGAGAGCTCACCAAGCTGCGAAAGGTATTTATTAGTCCACGTTTGGGCCTAGAAGGCAGAGAGCCCAGTGGTAATGCAGAGGCTTGAGAATAATCCTGCCTAGGCAAGGCAAATAAGAGACAGAAGAAATAAGATAATTGAAAATAACAGGGGAACATTTTCAAAAAGAACAGCATGATTTTTTTTAATCCAAAGAACAGCCTCATTTAAGAAAAAAAATCCTGGCAGTTCCTAAAAAAGATGAGTTAGAGAGGAAAATGGTAGAGAATATCGCAGTGAAGGGCACTATAAGAGATGCGGCAAAGACCAGCGGTCCATGCAGAGCCCTGAGTGTGTGAGAGTCACAAAGGAGGGACACCAAATTCATGGAGTGTTTCTGTAGGAAAAACTAGTTGGTTTGATGTAAGATTAAAAAAAATAACAACCCTCAATAATTATACAGCACTTTTTGATTTCCAAGATATTTCACAATCATTATCTCATAAAATCAAAAAATCCAGGAAGTTAATGGGGTTATAACTTTCTATTTTTAACTTAGAAAAACTGAGGCTCAAAACAAATGATTTGCCCAAAGCTTCACAGCTATTAAGCTCTAGATCTTCTATTCTTAATTCAGCTCTTTTTTTGATACTAAAGTTAAAAAGAAAAAAAAATCAGTGAAATATGTGATTTCCTAACCTGATGAAATTTCAAACCAGACCTTCCTCCCACCCTCAGCCTTCACCCACAGTCCTCATACTCCATGCACCCTGTGCTCAAACATACTGAACCCTCTCAATTCCTCCTCACTTTCCTACCCCTGTATGTTTTCCTACACTACTCCTGCACCTGCAACAGTCTCCTTCCCTCCCCCCTTTTATGGACTGAAATGTGTCCCCCTCAAAATTTACATGCTGAAACCCTAACCCCCAATGTGACTGCATTTGGAGATAAGGCCTTTAAGGAATTAAACAAGGTTAAATGAGGTCAAAGGGGTGGGGCCCTAACCCAATAGGACTGATGTCTTTATAAGAAGAAGAGACATCAGAGCTTGAAGGCTTGGTGATGCTCTCTCTCTCACCTCTTCCCTCTCCCTCCCCCATACTCTCTCTTCCTCTCCACACAGAAGAAAGGCCCTAGGACGACAGAGCAAGAAGAGGAACATCTACAGAGAGGCCATCTACAGAGAGGCCGAGGCTGCACCAGAAAATAACCGCACCAGAAACTAACCTCGTTGGCCCTTTGATCTTGGACCTCCAGCCTCCAGGACTGTGAGAAAGTAAATTCTGGTGTTTAAGACACCCAGTATGTGGTATTCTGTTATGGCAGCCGGAGCAG